GAAATTTTCATGTATGTATACTTTTTACTTATTCCCGTGATTTTATGTTGGAGTAAAGTTATTATTAATATTTCTGCAAACCTTCAGACTATATTTCATGTAGTGAGACACGTTTTAAGACCATTTAAAATAGTGTTAGCGACATACAGATATATTTAAATTAAAATCTAGATAGCAATTTTATATTAGGAACTGCCAAATTTAATGATAAAAATGTCTTAACGACCCAAAATAATGTGAATACAATCACAATAAAATAACTATGAGTTACATGTTTAATAAAATGCCTTAAATCAAGAATGTTATTTGTTTAACTTTAATTATAATTTCTTCTATTTTATCATTTATGCATACATCAATAATTGATTAGGCACGCTCGGAATCGTGAATCGATAATTACATTAAACAATTTTATTCATACTTCTGATGATTATATTGTATTTGCAGTTGTATTTCTAACGAAAACCTAGTATATTTTTGTGAAATAGGTCGTAGGCTTGTGAAATTAAAGTCAAGGCGTTTCTCTAAAAGCGTAAAAACATAGTTTTACAATTTTCTAAGTTTATGAATGAGCAAAAAATAAATTGAAATTATCGTCGTATCGTGGTTAATATTTTCCTTTTTCCTGTTCATCAGAATGAAATGAAACGTAAAGACTGTAATGTATGTATATATGTAATAACGTTTATAACGAAAAACAACATTTCGCATTTGATACTATGTAAGATAATTTGATACTTAACATGTAAATACAAGAAGTACTTTTTATGGTTAAACTATTAATTGAGAAAATAAATGCTTCGGGTGCGTACCTGGTAGTAGAGTAAACCAGCTTCCGTCGCCAATAAACATATCAGTTCGCGCCGCTTTGCATCATAACAGCCAGGCATCTATACACGTTAATTGGTAAGATTTATAGAAAAGGATTAGTGACATTTATGGTATCATTGATTAATTTATTACCCATTCGTACGTCAGATTTGGACAATAATCTTTTAAACTGACGTCATATTTCATATTAGAAAGTCGGGCGTTTTTGTTGCACTTGCACCACCTGATATTTGCAAGAAAGCCAGTTGAAGCAAAAAAGGATCATTTGGAAAAGTCGCAAGTTCACTTCAAGAATTTTGTTGAAATTACTGAATATTTTTATTAATCACAAAACAGAATCCCATTTTTTTCCATGTTAATTAAATTTTCAATTTCCCGCTGTTATATACAGGGTGCTGAATTAAGAAAATAATAATTTAAAACTAATAATTAATAAAACTGTTTTACGTTTATTTTTTGGTTTTCAATAAGGTCATTATTAAGCAACACTGGATACAGGTTTAAGAGAAAAACTTGTAACGGTTCTTTTTATTTATTTTCATCCTATTTTTTATGTACATCGCCCTGTATAACCTACTGAAATCAAAAGTGGAACAATTCATAGAAAAGAAACAACTCTTATTAATGTCAACTGGTTTACTAATCCTACAGACATAAACTTTTCTTTTAAACCATTATACAGAATTTAACAAGTAATTTAATAAGATTAACTTGTAGTCTAACGTTCTAATCGACATGGAGATCAGGTTTTAATTTATGCTACATCCTCAGATAACAACGTCTTGTATCACCTTTATTAATATTAAAAACATGTGTAATCAGAAACAGTCGCGCATCGTATGTTATAAATAAAATACATTTCTCAATATTCGCAGTCTTTTTCTACATGTTTATAGGTAATAAAAAATAATGATAGAAGTACTTATTAATGTTATAGAAATACAAAAAATAATGGAAGAGGGAAGGAGAAGAAGAGAAATAAATAGTTATTTTTCCTATTATGATAAAATTAAAATTGATCGGCGACAAAATTGTTTAACTTGGCAATAAAGTGGATTTATTGCCTTGGCTGCTTTAATAAACTTGGCTACGCCTCGTTTGTTAAATACCAGAGGTATTAAATCTTGTACTTTACTGCTTAGTTAAACAAATAACTATACTGTAGTTAGCACATCAATTAATGTAATTGACTTATTAAATTATTTTTTATATTGCATCGAACTTAAGTAATATTAAAATTAGTTGTATTAAATATTTTTTTTGTTTCAAACAAATGTACCCTTATTAATTTAAAAATAACCTAATAATGACTATTAGCTATAACATTAGTTATATTAGTTAATATAAATTATTCTTTAGTTGAATGATACTGAGAACTTAAATCAACTATAGTTAATTTTCATTTACGGGAATAGCCGTTACTGAAAATACAATAATAGTCTTCTGGGTGTAGTTCTATTGTGAAAAAAATAGTATAAATTTTGTACATTAATTTCACTTAACTTTCTAATATTCAGTTTGGTGAAATTTTTGCGGGCACTGCTCCAGAGAAAATAATGGCCCCGTCCGCGAAATGTTCAAGCGGAGGTTCCATTACCGGGGTAATATTTAATTCTGTAACGTAACAGCGCCCGACCGGCCGAGGCACTAAATTAGGTACGTTCACGTCGTGCCCGTTTGGCATTTCTTTATGTGAAAAAGCGCTCCTATAAAAGAGCCGATGCGATATTACAGTAATTGGTGGCTTAATTTGGGGAAAGTTTATATTATTAATCTGGCCGGTCTTATTGGCTCTCTTGTTGTGATCGAGATGCCGATTTTTATTTTATTTCAGTGTGAATTATATTTTTTCGACTCTATAATCAACGGAAATACTCAGGTGTACCGGTCGGCGCGGAAATGCCTTTAAAAGAAATCGGGGTATCGATGAAAATTTTATAAATTCGATTTCTAAACTCGCTATAATTGGTTAGCGCAGGAGCGTATTTATTATTGTCATGGGCGTGTATGGAATACAAGAGTGCTGAGTCGTGCATTTAGATTACGCGTTTCCTGATGATAATAATAGGTGGGTACAGCTGTGGACAAGAAAATGTTTCCAACGAAAATTGTTTAGTGTAAATGTAGATGTTTGTTGTCCTTTTCAATTAATTGTGTATATGCGATATTTTAACATCAGTTTAAAGCCAGCAATGTTTGACATATGTCTTGGCATTAGGTGATATTCAACATACGTAATACATATTACCTATTATAAGGATGCTAGAGTCTAGATACCATTAAAATATAAGTAATAAACTATAACCAATATGTTTGAATAGGGCAAAGTCCAACAAATTTAGCAGTATAGGTCTGAAGCATGTGCGGGGACGATTTTCTTCTCTGAAGGGGTCAAGAATAGGTTTCCACACCACTCATGAGGTATTGCTTATGGTGCGTTACTTTTTTTTATAGTGGGTAGTTCATCAGTAGCCTATTTTCCACATTAAATTAACAATTCTCCAGTAAACAATATTCTAACATTAACAAAATAAAATTTTTTCAAGTAATAACACCTAATCCTAATCATGAAAAAACGTAACAATTCCACATTAAAAACAATGCAGATATAATAATATAACAATAAAATAACAAAATACAATTTTCTTCTAGTAATAACAAATAATATTGCCATAATAATAATTCCAAAAAAAAAACCGCATCTAGAGACAATCACGCAGTCAGTTTCCGATACTCCATTATCACTCATCACTATCACTATTACCGATATTGATAATAAAAGGATCGATGACTTCATCAACCATATTATCTACATCCCATATTTTCTTTTCCTCTTTTTCAGCGTAATTAATACACTTTCTCCAGTCTTCTGTTGTAACGTTTTCTAGTGCTTTCTTATGATGGCGTTGATCACCAATTTAAATGATCTATTTTCTCTAGCCATTTCCCCTTTAACTTGTGCCTAAATTAACTCGATTGGCTTTAGTTCACAATGATAGGGGGGCAATCTTAGTACGGTGATAGTGCTAATTCATCCACAGCGAGTTTCTTATACAGGATGTCCCTGAAAAGGGTGGACAACGCTTGACCACAGGTTCCTTGGATGAAAACAAGACTATTTAGCCTAACTTACTTATATACAAAAGTGCACGCCTACTGAGATATAGCCTTCTAAATATAGAACAGATAAACCTAGTTTTTTCAAATAATTTTAAAACTGTTTTCCTTAGAAACTTTAAATTTGGTACACATATATTTTTATATAAGGGCAATGTAAATATAGAATTTGGTGTGAATACATATACAGGATGTTCTCTTTGTAGTGCCTGTGCGCCACTGGCTATCCCGTAACTTTTTTGTATGTACGCCAATGACGACAGAATTTATATTTTTAAAAATTTTAGAAGATTTTTTGCCTCTTACAAAATTTTGATATCGTTTATGGATTTCGAGTAAAATTGGCATTTTTTACACATTAAATAATATAGAATCAGTTTAAGATAAATAGAACATTCTAGTACGAGGTGCCATGTAACAGAGAAACAAATTCATAACAATAATTAAAAGGTTCTGTGTCAAGCTAGTTGTGATTTAATTTTAGCTTACTTTGTTTTTTATTGCAATTTATACTTTTGCTGAACAAACTGATATGTTAGTAGTTTTGGGTTATTGTGAATGAAATTGTTGTGCTACTGTTCGAACATATGCTGAAAGATTTCCTAATCGAAGAACTCACATATCACAAAACATTTGCTAATGCGGAGAGACGCCTTCGGGAACCAGGACGTTTTTTACCTGTAACATTAAATCTTGGATAATGTTCGGCCGGAATTATTCAGCTGGAGGAACAAATTTTGGAAAGGGTCCAAGAAATTCCTCAAGTAAATAAAAGGTGTTTAGCGGCAGAGGTTGGCTTTCAAAAAGTTCCTTTAATAGAGTATTAAAAGACCAGTTATTACAGGCTACAGGTATTACAGGGTACATGTAAGTATTACAGGTTTATTCAAACATATTGGTTAGAGTTTAATATCAAAAAAGCTCTTTTGGAGACTCCAATAGTACGTTAGACAGCAAACCCTTTCTGTTGCAATTTCTAATTCGAATTGTAAGAATGTTTATGGATTTAAGGGATAATTCTACCTAAAAGCAGTAATCAGTGTCGGACTTACCTTCACGTCTTTGATGTTTGGCGTCACATCGGACGTAACGAAAGTGGAATTGACAGGGGCCGGTTTGTTTTTAACGCTTGGGAAAATGATGCCCCCCTTCCTCTTCTCTGGCCGTTTCTCCGTCGTGCCGCTTTGGGACGTACTGTTCTGTATAGGTACTTGCGTGTTGATTTGTGGTGGTAGGGTGGTGTAACCAACAGGAAGGGTAGTATCCGTTACGAATTCATCCACGTATCTGGTCGATTCGTAGTCGGCCAAGTCGTCAATCGCGGGATCCAACAGAACCTCGGCGGGTACCGGCCGTTGTGCTAAAGTGGCTACGTCGTCCTCCTGCTTCTTCAGCCTCTTTTCGACTTTGTCCAGATTGGCTATGATCTTGTTCGTCTTCGTTCGCAGATCGTTGTGGATTTCGCCGATAGCCCGCTCTTGCCTTTGTGTTTGGGTAAGGAGTTCGTCCGATTTTGGTACCAGATCGTCGACTGAACTTTTCGTTCCCACAACAACGTCCCACACCTCATCCATCTTTTCCGAAACCGATATGATCGGCCTCATTTGCTGCACTAAACTGTCGATCTTATTTGTCTTGGGAAGCTCGGGCTTCTGAGTGGTCGTGGTTGTGGTTCTGTTGAAATTATTGTAGCTCGTGTACGCGTTTGGATCGTCGACTATGGCGTGATGGACGTCGGTCATCATGTTCAATACCTTTCCAAGGTTTTCTTGCACTAGGTTTACGTGGAACTGAAGCTTCTTATCGAGGCTTCCCGTCGCGTCCCTAAGCTGACCCAATTCTTTCGTCACGTGATTTATAACCTCCGTATTCAATGCCTTGGTTATCTCGATTACGTTCATGCTTACGGACCGTTTCTCGCTAGCCTCAACATTGATATCTTCACCTTGTAAGGAGTTGTTGTCCAACTGGTTTTTTAGGACGCTCAACTTGTCGTCTATGTCACTGACTTTTTGGTCCAACGCGACCAACCTTTTGTTTAGACTGATCGATTCCGCTTCGGCAAAAGAATCGGACTTCCTGTTGCTGTCGAAGGGCAAACGGTTGGGCACTTGGAAGAGTTTGGAGTCTATGTTTCCTAATTTGGCGATGACGGACTCCGTTTTGTCGATGTTACTGTTGACGCGGGTGTCTAGGCCTTCCACCCTTCGCATTAGGTGCTCCACCGCCTTGTCTAGATTCTCTATTCTCTGCAGTTTGGATTCTAGCGTCGAGATGATGGCTTCGAATACGTTGAAGAGGTACTGCTCTCTGTAAAAGAAAACTATTATTAGTCCATCAATAAAAACCAGGAAAAATATAATTCAGGAGATTAGATTCATTTTAGGTGGATGCCGAATACCGCTTTTACATTGTTCGGCTTAATGACGTTCCATTGAATAAAGTTTATCGTGTAATTGAAGAAGAAACGGCATGGCGATGCGTTAATGTATCGTCATCCTGCCGTGAAGCTCTTTTATAACACAAAGAGGGATATAAATAATGGATACGGTGCGCGTCCTTTGAACACTTGCAGTAAAATCTATATCGCGTGCAGTTATGCTCTGCTCTGTGTGTGGCCTGCCCAAACATTAATGAGAAACAAATTTTGGCCTCAGCACGTACATCATTTTAAGATTTATGGGGCGTGCTTCCCCAAATTACAAGTATATTTCGATTTAATTTAATAAATATTGTACGAAATGCGTTTTTAATGTTTCGAAAGTGGTTTTGTGCAGCACTGTTTCGTATGTTTTTTACTGAGATCGATTATTCTCTTAAATATTAATGGCAATGTTAATGTTTTGTTAAAACTCTTATCAGATGAAGTCGTATATCAATAAAAAATAGTGAATGTATTCCTGACTCAAGGAAATAGTACTTGGTTTGTAGAAATGTTTAAGAAATAACTCCGTCAACAGTCCAGACAATCATTTAAAATAACAATCATTAGACCAGTTATTACCTTTAGCCATATTAGGAGCTCCCCAGGGATCAAATTTCGGTCCAGTATTATTGTGTTTGTTCACAAATGACTTGTCTCTGTAATGTGAACATCTATTCCCGGTGACCTTAAGTTGTTCGAGAAAATCGAACAATAATTGTTCAGCATCAGCAAAAAATTTATTAAGAGTATCACATTTTTATACCTTAAATTGATTGTGTCACTTTTATTGTATAATACACAACAATATACATAATATTGCATATAATGTCTCACAGGTTTTGTGTCGAAAACAACTTTTTTAGTAGACTCGGTTGGCTTTACTTTTTTAATGTATTACAAAAATATGAATCGTAATAAATTATTTAACTAACTAATCTTCTCGAAATTACCTGTGTCATAATTAACGACCGTCGTGCGTTTTAGTAATGACATAAGATCAGTAGGGAAACTGAAAAAAGACCAGGAAGACTCCGAACATTCGCGTAAAAAAAATCGCAATAAATTTCTGTCACATCCACTTATTAATGTGCCGCATAAATTCGTACATTCCCCAATTTCACATCACCGACACATCAACGCTATAACGTAACTCTCTACCATAATGTTCCATTAAACAAATAGCTTTCATGTGCGTGTTAATGCCCCTTTATTGATTGCTATTGATTAAGTATTGTGCTAATGGAATAACTTGTCCGATATCCTATTACTAGACATTTCCTAAGAGAATATCTTAAAAATATATATGTGTAACTGATAGCTTTCTATAGGTACTATCTTTGCAATAGTAATTAGTTATTTATTCGCCGGTCATCAGGACTACTTCACATCCTGGTTGGAGTGCATGTAACATCGCGGATGATTAGAATTTCATGTCAAACTATTTTCATCGATACATCATTTGTGTAGTCACTTAAATATCCGCATAAGGAAGATATAAAATTAAGTGATATATTAGAAACGTTTATTACTTAATTCCAAAGCATTCTCTACCTCTCACTAGAATTTTGGTAGTAGTGAAGTAACGACTGATTTGAATTGCGAAAAGTTGGCAGCATTGGACAAAATGGAGCGCTATACGACGCAAGAACTAGCAAATATTGTAAAAATTCGTTACAAGTACAGAGGGTATGTAGCTGAGACTGATCCTTTAAGAAGAAGAGATCAATCCACCTGGTGTACATCTTTGCTTAGTCTACTATATTCTCACCCTTGTCTTTAAGGATAAGTTCTTTCAAGGCTTCTTTAATCTACATGTTTTTGTTTGAACAACGGCTTCTCGACAAAACTCTCTAGGACATTATAGTTGAATTCTCCTGATCTTGTTAATACAATCTCCAATATTTTTGACATTGCGTTCCGCATTTCATAATTTCATATTTTCTGCACTTCAAGATTTCTTTTGATACGCATTTTTTTTCAAAATTTTGCACATGCACCTACAAATACTTTGTGAAGTTATAAATTATACTTCATAGGTGCGTGCATACAGTGACATTAATTGAGTCCCTTTATACGTAAAATATTGTAGTATTGCGGCACAATAAACACTGGTGTATTCATACGATCCCCATTCTGTTATTAATAAACGCGTGTAGTAATTTACAATCCGATTTCCCCTTCAGACGATACATATTTCATGACTGGGAACTTATGTTTCACGTCTACACATAATTAATTTTGACGGTTGTAACCGGGCTTACGAAACATTCGTCTTGGACTCCTGCCACGTGTACACCTCCTTGAAACGGGTTGATGTTCTGCACTTTAAGATTTTATTGCAGCTTAAAATCGCATAAAACCAACACTTTGACGTCGTTTGTAACTTAAAGGTGGCCGCACATGTACGTTTTTACGAATTTTAAGGTGACAACTTTTTGTAAAAAATATCGCTTGGGACTCAGATTTTTGTGCCGACGTTTCGGCTCTGAAAAAGTATCGTCATTTCTTCCGCAATTTTTTTTTCCGTTTTATACTTATCAGGGCGTCTGCGGCAGAAAATTCAGAAAAGTTTGTGTAATTTCATGCAGGGCCACAAAGTTAAAACATCTCTGCAATTACAAATAAGAAATAAACATTATAGAGAACTATTGCCAAAAGGTGACAGTTTGATACTTAAAAAATTATGAAACAGTTACATGAAGAATTTTGTGTTAATCCAATTGAATTAATTAGATAATATTCTAAGCTAAGACCTCAAAATGTGCAACATAAAAGGTTCTGTCGCAATTTTCAAAAGGGAAAATGCACACGTCAATGTGTTGATATTAATAAGCTATCAAAAATCCCTAATGTTGTTGCGCGATTTTTGGGCTTGACAGATTCTAATTTATATACAGGGCATGAATGGAAGTCGTCTACCGTGGCAGAGGGTTATATAGAAGAGTCAGTTTCTAGCAAAATTGATATTACTGAAAAGATACAAGGGGTGCAGACTCCTGAAGCAAGCACAAGCAAAGAGGAAACCTGTTCTATTACTATTAATAAGTAGGTAGATTAAAAGTTTGTAGCGTTTTAGTTATTTGTTGACTTATTATTGTTTCAAATTGGTTTTCTAATAAAAATTGGAAAAATAAACCAAACATTTGTCTTTTTATGATTTCTATAAATCACTAATGGGTTATAAGTCATAACTTACTAGAGACTTATGACTTATAACTCACTAGTGACTTATAGGTCACATTATTCTTTTAAAGCCAAAGAAATTATAGTATCATTATTTACAAGTGTTGGATAAAATAATAAAAAGTGAATGTGATTTTGTCATTTCTGTAATATATTAATTAAAAACCAGTGAAAAAAGTAAATGTGAACACCCTGTATCTTTTTTATTCAGCATGTTTGGAAATATCTGCTTTTTTGTTTAGAATCAAATTACTGTCATTTATATTAAATTGATAGTCTATGCGTTGATCAAAAATAATAATTATATAACGATGTCATAAAAGATTATTTAATTTTTTATTTTTAAATGTAATTAATTGACATACTTTTAGGTTAACGTCGATATTGCAAAATTGTTATTTATAGATTCCTTTCGTTATGATTTATTACAATTAGATGTTTTCACTTAAAAAATTAAAAATTATAAGAAACTGATATTATTATACAAATATTAATTTCAAAGTATTGAATATACTTTCCCACACACCAAATGGTTATTTAAATTTCCATTCGCGGACAATTGAAATCGATTTCATGAGTACACTTCATCGATGCCTGTTTTGCTATTAAAAATCTAAATAATATTGTTTCCATAATATTAACTTTTGAATTAATTATACCCAGATTTTGCAATTCGACATAACTAATCAATAATTACGTATTTACGCGAAGAATAAAACTAGGCCTCTACGGGATTATATAAACACCTCATATCCATCCTGTGAAAAGGTTTATATCAAGAATTTTCGCAATATTCCATTCAAATTCGAACGTTGGTTACTTCACCTCAAGTGACGTTGCTTCACTGGTGCCATATATTAAAAGCAAGATTTACCACTAACTAAATAAATGAGTAATGGTTTCTAAAGGATCATCTGTTACCGTAATTCCACTTGCGAATGTTTTTAGCCGTTGCTTGACTGGACACATTAAGTTTAATCTACATTTTAACTACCTAATTAAAACAGGAATTATTTCTGGTTATCACTTATTTCATAATAAAGAGTGCCTGATGTCTTTTTATAATTTTTAGCTGTTCTTTATTATATTAATACCGATTGCTGTAGCTGCAACTGTATAGCTATACAGAGTAATTAACTAAATAATAGTGTAAAGACTGTTGCATTTTAGTCAAGTTCATTAATTCAGTGTGTTATAGTCTAAACCTGCGAAGCCAGATGGAAATCTGCAAATGTAGATGTAGGTATGGAGCTATTCATCAGGCGTGTATTTATGTATTTAGTTCAATACCGAAATTCTAGTATTTACCATATACATACATACATATTAATTCAGATTAGGATATAAAAATGTAAAATTCACATAGTCAAATCACATACTAGCTCATTAGACTGTATCAAAAATGGGATTATCTTTTTTTCAAAAGTGACACTAAAATTATTGTTGAGGATGTCGAAAAAATGTTCCTGTTAAAATTTGAGCTCTGAATATTAATATTAAAATGTGTATCATTACGATTTTTTATTTCCTAGTTAAATAACATGGGAAATTATTTTTTTATTAAATTTGGAATTTTATAACTCGTCAACGGATAGGTGTACTGATAAGACCAAAACATATTTTTGTAGGGAATTGAACGCTCTATTAAATAGGTCTCTTATCATTTTATTATAAATCTACTCTATTAAAAGTTATTTAAGGT